CTTAGGCTGCATCTCAACAATGCGGCGTGGTTAGCAGACCTAAGCAAGGCGTTAACTAACCTCACTGTTGCAAACTGTCCCCGGAACTTCCTTGTGCCTTTAAATGAGAATGATCACAACATAAGCCAGTGTTTCTAGATCCTGTGCTCACTAATTATTGGTTGTGCACAAGCAGGTTATACTTGGGGGTTTTATGGAGGACTAAAAACCACAAAAGCAGAACCCAGGCACACGGTTTAAAGAATTCCTGCTCCTAGGTCTGGAGATATGGCTCATCTGTTAAAAGCACTGGCTGCTCTCACAGAGGACCCAGGTTCCATTCCCAGTACCACACGGTGACTCACAGCTGCCTGTAAGTCCAGTGTCATAGCTCTGGCGCCCTCTTCTGGCCCCCACAGGCGCCAAACATGTGCATGATGCAAAGACTACATGCATGCAGACAAAATATTCATATACACAACTTTAAAATCTATAAATAAGTAAAAGTTAAAATAAAAAAGAGAATTCCTGTACTAATGGTCAAATACAATACAAAAGAATATCGGTTAATGATGTCCTGGTTGCCTAAATTTGGCCCAAATTCAGATGACAGCATATGGCTGAATTTCATACTGTTATGTTATTTATGATCTTTCTCTCTCTCTCTCTCTCTCTCTCTCTCTCTCTCTCTCTCTCTCTCTCTCTCTTGTGTCTGTCTGTCTGTTTGTCTATCTGACTCCCTAGGTTTTAATAGCAAAAACCATAATTTGGGTAAAAATCGAATTACAAAGACAGAAACAGAACAAAGGGTCACTTTTGTTCCCATATTAAATATATAATACATGTAAATTATTTTGCATGTATATGCATGCTGGGGAGATGGCTCAGAAGGTAAGAGTGCTTACTGAGTTCAAATCCTGATGTATGTGGCCACCCATGAGCTTGTAACCCTATTGCAGCGTGAGGTGGAAACATGAGGACTGTGCAGCTTGTAAACCTCCAGCCTGGATCCAGTGAGAGACTCTGTCTCGAGGAAGTGAGACAGTTATAGAGCAGGGCGCCTGAGGCCTTCCACACACACGCGGGGATACATCACACACACATACACACACACACACACACATACACACACACACGGGGATACATCACACACACACACGGGGATACATCACACACACACACACACACGGGGATACATCACACACACACACACACACGGGGATACATCACACACACACACACACACACGGGGATACATCACACACACACACACACACAGGGATACATCACACACACACACACGGGGATACATCACACACACACACACACACACACACGGGGATACATCACACACACACACATGGGGATACATCACACACACACACACAGGGATACATCACACACACACACACACACACACGGGGATACATCACACACACACACACACACACACACACGGGGATACATCACACACACACACACACGGGGATACATCACACACACACACATGGGGATACATCACACACACACACACACACACACTGCAGGAAGGGCAAGAGAACTCAATCTTTTCTTTCCTTCATACAATGACTCTGAAAGACTAGACCTACTGTTTCCTGGGAGCCACATAAAACGGTTTATCTTTAAACAAGTGTGGTCTGCAAGGAGGAGGCAGAACAGAGGAACCAAGAGAGGGGATCAGAGGCGGCTCGTTCCAGAACCAGAAAAGTATGGGGGCTTCTGAGGGGCTTTGCACAGGTGTCCAGGGCACATTTCCTCCAAGCATCCCCCAGATCTCTTTCCCAGGGCCTGAACTCAAGTCAGCAGCTGTTGTCTCTACAACGATGCATTTTACTCTTCCCTTATAGCTTGAGGGACACCAGGATGAAATCACAGCAAACAAGGCCACGAAGCACCCCTTTTATGTCATGGGAAATGCATGGAGGTGAAGATGAAATGTCTTCCTCACCTACGCCCCTCTGAAAAGAAGGAGCTCTCCTGACATCAGAGTGGGCCCAGGACAGAGATCAAGGTAGAGCATGCTTGAGGCCTGGCTTCCATTCCTCACATTAAACATATTGTTCTCAAGAAAGAAAAATGAAGCAGAGGCCGTGTGCAGCCAGCAAGCATCCAGATTCATTGAGGCAGTATAGACTCTTTCCAGGAACCCTGCTGTCACTTTCCAACTAGACACCAAGAACTGAGCATAGGTGTAAGGGCATGCTTAATAAAATCAGGGTCTGGCATTGGCTGAGTAGTTTCTAGGGGCCATGTGCTAAATTAAGTATTATCACGGCCTCATTGGACTTTCATAGTAACTCTGGGCATGGGCCAGCTTTACAAACAAGGACTTAGCCATAGCTAGAAACTGACAGACATGGATTTAAACTTTGGTCTATCTGAGGCTCTAAATTCCACACTCTTCCTACTAGGTCCTGTTGTATATATCTGACATCCCATTTTAACACGCATCTATGTTTGACAACAGGCCTGCAATGTGCTGTTCGTTAGGTTACCTAAAGACCACAAGTGTCATCGCCTTGCTTAATAGCTCATGTTCCCTGGCCGCTCTTTCTGTGGTCTCTATAGGTGCAGCTAGGGCATTGTCAGGGATGAACCCATGGTAACTGAACTTCAAAGGGATCCCAGAGACAAAAGCACATTTCCTGTCCATGGTAAAGACATGGGTTCTTTCTTTATAACCCACCATTTTCAGCAGTAAATTAAAATTTATCTCCATGGTTTGAAGGGTTCCTATAACCTTTGGGAGGAGAAACCGCATTCTTGGCTGTGGCTAAAATGGTACGTGTTTCACTGGCTAGTCTTTCTATCACCATTTTCTTCTTCATAAAAGAAAAACAGTTGAGACCGTTTTTGTGACTGCCTGGCACTCAGGGACAAACAATTGATTACTGTGGGCTGTCTGCAACACCCTCTGCCACCCCCTCATCCTGCCCTTATCTCCTGGATGGACTGCTGGTGCTTAAAACAGAGTGGATAATAGCGTACACAGAAGATAGTTCAGGGCTGGCAAGGAGATGACTGGGTTGGTAAAGGTGCCAGCCACGTGAGTTTGGTGACCTAAGTTAAATCCCCAGAACACTTATAAAAGATGGAAAGAGACCAGGAACACCCAAAGAAATGTCCTCTGACTTCACACGCCCACTATGGTGCATGGACACCCCATCTCCCCAGAATAATAAAAAATAATTAAAAGTACATTTTGAAATGCAATTAATAGTGCAGGGTCTGATAGCGTACACCTTTAATACCAGAACTCAGGAGGCAGAGGCAGGGGGATCTCTGAGTGTCCAAGGCCAGCCAGTGAGGACTACACATTGAGACCCTGTCTCAAAATAAGATATTTTTCAAAGATACAGTAGGCATCTCCCCCATCCACTAGGGATATCTTCCAAGACCCCAGCGTAAGTCCAGAGCCACAGACGGCACCCACATGGACTTTTCTCCCCCCTCTATATGCATACCTATGCTAAAGTTTAATTTATAAATTAGACACAGTAAGAGATTAACAGCAATAAAGAGAAATAATCATAACTCTACGGTGAAGAAAGCTATTTTCAATTTGGGTCTTTTGTTTATTTTTTGTTTACTTTTCTTTAAGTTTCCACTTAGAATTTTCAGAAAGCAGCAGACTCTGTGTAACCAACCGTGTACCTTACCCAGCCAGCTTCTGGGGCACAGAAAGTCACCAGGCAGAACAGTGTCTGAGCCATTGTGCGTTTAGCCTGCTGCTCTCACCTTCAGCTTGTGAGCAGAGTCCTTTGTCTGCGGGTGTAGTGGCACTGCCCTAACGATGCATTTCACCATCCGAGCGGTGACAGAGTCTACTGGGTGTTGGAAACAGGCCCTCTCTTATCACTTCCACACTGTGGTCTCACTGCCATTCTCAAAACAGAGACGTGGCACTGTTGAGATTTCAGGCCAGGGGCTCCCAGCTTCTATGCCAGGGCTGACCCATGGGAGGTAGCAACCCTTTGTCTTCATTAGTTCAGATGGGGTTTCCTTCATGCTTCTCATTTGCTGGACTTTCATTCATTCATATACTTGTTTCAAATATATGCCCTAGAGAGGCAGTTAGGCACCGTGTCTAACAAAGTGTCAGGTACACAGGAGACACGGTTTTCTTGAAATGTGAATCAATAAATGAGCGGATGAAAGATTGTCCTATGACTGAAGCCAATGTTCCACCACTATCGTACAGTCATCGCTATTATCTAAACTCCTCTTCCATGCAGAGCTCAGCCAACTGCACAATACTTTCCCTCATCCAAAGAAAACAGTCCATGATTCTCCATGCCCGTCTATCGTGTTTCTCCCACCAAGAGGGTTGAGATGCACCTAAAGGCCAGAACCTACCCTGTCGCTTTGGTGTAAAACTCTCTAGGAGGCTGACAACCAAGATGGTGGGCCGGGACAGACAGCAGCCTCCCTTCACTTCCGGCCTTCCTGTTCCGCCACCGATGGTGGGAACCTCCCCTGACTCATCCCACAGAGGCACTCTGCAGAGGTTTAAACTGCGAATGGGGGCATGCCTGTGGCACTGACACCAGTGCCAACTGGTGTGGCCCTTGACTCTGAATTCTAAGACAATCCTTGTGTCCCCTATAGTGCTTGCCCTTCTCAATGTACTCACAGTTTGTCTTGGAACATAGACGCTGTCCCTAGGGTCTGCCACCCAACTAACTGAGACGGAGTGAAACCCAAAGGACTCCTTTACTTTCACCCGACACCTCCGAGTAATCCATCTTTTAGTTCATTCTGTCTACCAAAACCCTCATCAAGCTACAAGTCTCTGAGGAGAAGGGGGGGGGGGTGAAAGCCATGGCAGAGATTTTGCCCACCTTTTCCGTCCTGAAGAGTTTCGGGACCCCTGGAGGGGCAGCCGAAGAGGGTCCCAAGAGACCTGTAGAACATGTACGGTGGGCAGTCAGGGTCCTGGGGAAGCTAAGCTCTGCCCTCCCAGTATTCTGGTTTGTGATGTCATCGCTTTAGATCTTCTCATCTTTGTCAGTGACAGCATGGAGAACACAGCAGCTTGTCTTAGAACCATGGCCTTGCCACAGTGGGGCAGAAAGGGACCACCGTTCTTAGCACTCACCTCCTCCTCCTCCTCCCTCATGCAGAGCTTGTGAGCACCCGTGCCCCTGAAGCTACTCAACAGACAAAAGTATCGTAGGTGTCGCATGCTGTGTCATCAGACATACTGACACAGGTATGTCACTGAGCGATACAGTATTAGCTAGAACAAAGCCATTTTGTTTCTTTTTGATACAATGTCAGGTAAGTATCCATGGCTGGTTGAGTATTTTCTATTTAGCCCAGGCTGGCCTCTTGACTATGCCCCCCAGAGTGCTGGAATTACAGGTAGGCTATACTCAGATACAGATATTTTCATATCTACCCCATATTTATTGACTTGTCAACAGAGTCTCAAAAAATTGGGAAGGGCTCTTTTGCCCAAACTGTCCTGGGGGAGTCTGAGATGCAAGAGAGGAACTGGAGTGTGGTTTTGCTTTGATAGTGACATTTGGAACACTGGCTTGCTGTGTGTTCCTCTCCAACATGCCAGGCCCTCTGCTGCTGCCTTCAACATCTAAAAGCCCCTGTTGGCACTGAATACATACAGCTCCTGTAAAATCTAGTGCCTTTTGGTAAACCCTTCCAGGAGGCGGGGAATTGGGAGGCGATAAGAATGCACCTCAGGCTGACACAGAGGAGGGAAATTGAGGGTCTTTTAAAACGAGTTCTTGACCATTAAATTCCCAAGCGATTCCCATGTGGTTTAGACTAGTACTGCTTTGGGAGACAGTCACTGTGCAACATAGTTCAGACAGGGCTAACATACTGCTTCCTGGACCTCCGTAGTAAAGCCAAACCTGGGAGAGGGACTAACTTGTTGGGGAATCCCAGTCTGTGCTGTCTGCGGGTTTTTCGCAGGCAGAGACAATCTAAAGTCGAGTTACAAGTGGCTGCACCAGAATGGCTTTGGCCACATGAGGAATGTGTGTGAGAGGTAGGGAACTGTCAGATAGGACACCCTTTCCACCTCCTAGATGTCTGCTCAGGCACGGAAGCCACCTTTTCAGATTCCATGTGAAGAGTGGGATGAGAAAATCCCTCCCGGGCGACCCGCGGTTCGTGGGGAAGAAAAGCCAGGACCTTTCACTGGCTAGCCTGTGGCTCTGGAGGGGGGGGCGTACTGCCCAGCTGGCACCTCACTCGGGACCAGGAGGGAGGCTGGAAGAGGACCCGGAGAGGCGGGGTGGGAGCAGGGGTGCACAAGCCGGCTGAGAAAAGGTGTAGCTGCTGGAGAGAAATTAGAGACTTTGGCCCCTCTGGGAAGCAGACCGGTCCAGCACTCACACAGCGCCCGGGAGGCCCCAAACAAACTACTCTCCCTGCTTGCTCTCAGCCCTTTGTTGTCCGCCTCTGGCTGCCGCTCATGCCCTCGGGTCCCCCACCCCCCTGAAGTCACCCCAACTGCACTCATAATATTTTGCTTTGCGCCGGGTCTGTTTTCCACCACCAACTTCCAGCAGTCTCCATGGCGACGCACTGGGGGTAGGGGGGTTGGGGGCGGCGGCTGTTCAGATCCCAGGCCTGAGCCGCGGAGCAGCCCTGGCTAACTTTTCCGGGTCTCTGGGTACCGCGCTGGGAAAGTGCGCTATGCGCGGCCCGCCTGGGATAACCGCGAGCCCGCAGGCCCGTGGAGTCAGGCCTGTGTACTGGGGGCCGTGTGGCCCAAGACTACAATCGCCGGTATCTGGAATCCGGGGACCACGAGACACCCACTCTACTCTGTTGCCAAGCTCAGATGCTAGCAGGTGGCAAGAGTAGGACCATGCAAGTCCACCTCTCCGGTTACACACTCATGCACACACACACACGCACACACACATATACACACATACACATATACACGCACACACATACACACGCACACACATATACACACATACACACTGTAGCACACACATACACACACATGCATGCACACACGCACGAGCGCACGCACGCACACATATACACACATACACACACATACACACACATGCACACACATGCACGCACACACGCAGTCTGGGGAGGGTGAGAATGGCCCAGCACAAGCACTAGGCTCACATCTCTTGCTGCATCCTGCTTTGAACCAAGGATTGGCTCTCTGGGCTGCACAAGGAGGCTACTTCTGCTTTCCCCAGAACTTCTGGGGGGAGGGGAGCAGGAGGGTCTCTGGGGCTCTGTCTCTCTGGGGGCTCTTTACCCCTTGAGCAAAAACCTAAGGCCCCAAGATGTCTCAGCTTAAGGCCCATGAAACTAGGCTGGACCTAGTACTAGGTCCCTCCCTGCATAGCCGTGTTTTCCTTCTCCTGGGCCCCAGACATTGGCCCCAGACATTCAGATCCAATTCGAGAATCTTTGACGGCCCAGTTCTGAGTTTTGGAGGCGCGGGGTGCGGGGAAACTGGGTAGAGTTAGAAGCTTCCAGTTGGAGCGATGCTCCTCTCTACCGAATCATCCCGTTTAACAAGAAACAACCCTTCTGACGCGTGGGCGACCAGCCTGTACCAGCCCCACTTCGCACAAGTTCTTGGTGGCCGAAAATTCTATCACTTTTCCTTGCTCGTTCTCGATTCTCTGAATGAGGAGCAGCTGAACAGCGCTGATCTGTGTAGGGACATCTGGAATCATAACCGAACAGCCACGAACAAGTAGCTACCTCCAGCGGCCCTCGTAGAGAGTGGGGGCCAAACCGGCCTGAGAACACACTTTGAGGCCGGTGGATCGAGCGCACTGGCGCCAACTGTCCCTAGGCACCCGCACATCGATGGATCCTGAGCGCACCAGCTGCCTTAGCAGCTCGGCAGAGCCTGACGAAGCCGCCAGAGTCCCATCCTAGAGGGGCTTTGCTTTGTCGTGTTGAAAAACCAGAGAGCGCCGAAGACCTAGGAGGCGCGCGCCGGCTCCGGGGCCTTCCCCGACGGGACCATTGTCTTGGCCCCACACTTGTAATGTATTTTGGAAAAGCTCAAGGAATATATTACCAGCTCGGTGCGCGGAACAAAGGGGTGAGTTTCCGCAGGTCACGCTGAAGTGGGCCCAAAGCAGGCCACTAGAGCCCCGGCCCCTGCAAAACCGTTCTCCCATGCCCGAGGTACTTTGCGGGGATTTTCCTTTTAAAAGACGAAGACTGTAGCTTCGGCTTGCCGGCCCCCTCTGAACATGGATGCTCCGGACTTCGCTCCAGCAACTGCTGTGAGCCTGTTGTTTGAGCCCGTTAAAAATGAAATAACTGATTTCGTGTTTCTAGCCGAGCGCAAACTTACACTAGGGGAGCAGACTCGAACTGGCCGGTGGAGCCCTGGACTCTGCACGCCCGGGGAGGGGAATGAACCTTTTACATAACAAGGGAAACTCAGAAGAAAGACTAATTGGATTAATTCTCTGGAAGGGAGGCGAAAGAAGGCTCCTGGATCGGACCTCGCTGCGCCGCACTTCGCTTGTCCGGAGTTTTGCATGTGAAATGTCACCTGGTGCGCCAGGAATGACTTCTCAATTGCTGCCATTAACCAAAACTTTTGATTTTGAGTTCAGGAGTGCGATCTAGGGATATCTCGTAGGTACGAGAGGGGAGGGGAGCACTCGGGTTTCATAACCCATTTTGGATGTTTACAGTTGGGGCGGAGGTGGCCAGTGCCCCCACAAACATCTAACAATCCGGGATTTAAAAAAGGACATGTCCACAGTTCTACATCACCAAGCAAGGACTCGAGTCGTGTGGAGGGACTAAAAGCCAGCTAGGACATGCCTGATTTGGGGCATGAGGAAGGTCCCATGTAAGGACCCCTTGAAGATCCTCAGCCACTAATTCTGTATAAATGAGTTAAATCTGGTTAAAAACATTCATTTTTAATGTTGTGGTTCTTAGGTTTTGCTTGAGTTTTAAAATGTTGAAGCAAAGCTTTGCTCTTCCCTCTCCCGAACCAGCACTACTGGGGTGTGGAGAAGACCACAGCAGGGCGGAGGATCTGGGCAGCCGGTGCCCTACCCAGGCAAGATCGCTTTATCGCCTCTGCATGTGCTCGCAGATAAGCAGGACGTAGGAGGCTCAGGCTTTGACCACTCCCTGAGGACTCACAGCCACCCCCGGGAACCCAAGGCAGAAAAGTATCCTAGAATGCAGCTGATACCCCTGGGTCCAAGGTCTCCACCACCAGGTCTGCAATGTAGGCCTGGAGAGGCCTGGAACCTCCCTCCTAGAAACAAGGACTACGTCTGGGAAGACATCTAGACGGCTTAGCCCACCACACATCTTTTTGCCACTGGGGGGGGGAGTGGAGTGGGCAGAGCTGTGTGTGGTGTTTACTTGCAAGTAAGTTATGTGAGTCACCGCACAGCTGAGGTCAGCAGGCACTTGTTGCTACGTTTCGATGCCCTCACATTCTCCCAGGGTTCAGCCAAACAGCCCGGTTGCCTCTATCACCCCCCGAAAAAACCCCCAAACCACGGCCCAGCAGGGATTTGAGTGGCTTGGTAGAGAGACTGGGCCTAGGGGAGGGAGTAAACTTTTTGAGAACTTCTACATGAAAAGGACATAGGAAAAGTAATTGAGACTTAGAAGTGTGGCGGGTCCCCAAAGATGCTAGGCATAGAAACTGACTAGTCGGCTGGAGACAGCACGGAGATGCTGGGTATTTTCGTTTTAAGAGATCCCGTGTCTTCCCTTCCGTTGTGAACCATGGCGACCCTAGAGCCTGATGTCCACCACACAGCCCTCCAACCGAGGGCAGTTCACAGATCTCAGAGCCAGAACTCAGGCCTTTACTGATGCTTTGTATTCTGCTTTCCCCCCGACTAGGTTACAGCCTCGGTGTGGAGCCAGCTGCTAGTGGGTTGTCTCTTGGCGGCCGGGAGGCTACAGTCCTGGGCTCCCATCTCTCACAGTCCAGAGCTTCAAATGCCCCAGGACCACCGGGTTCGCCGCCGCCACTCCCTCCAGCTGCGCGGCTCCTGCAGCAAGAGCCTCCACCTCCCGCGCGCGGAGAGACACGGTCGCTTCCCCCCATCCCCCCAGCCTTTGGAGCGTTCCCGGCCCTCACCCCAGATCCTGAGCAGACCACTACCCTGCCCAAAGCCTGGGCAGCCTCGGGGCCCGGGAGGGGGCGGCTGGCTCGCAAAGTTCCTGCAAGCAGCAGCACCTCGAGCTCGCCGCGAGCCAGAGAGCATCTTTATGCAACTTTATGTCCAAGTGAAAGCGCGCTGCTCAGCGTGCGCGCACGCGCACACACGCATTTACACGCACCACACACTTCCATGCATCCACTTACACACTTAGCGCTGGACCGAAAACTTGGGCACTCCTTCACTCCTGGGATCCCACTGTCAAGATGACCCGCCTGAACTTTTTGCAGCTCTTGCCGAAGTCCCCCCTTTCCCTGTTCCTCCCCCCTACTGTCTCCCCCCAAGTCCCACCAGGACTAACCTGTGGAATCCATGTCGGGTTCCTCCAGTAACCCACAATGCATGCTCTTCCCATGGACAGCACAGACGCCCCCCAAAAGTCCTGATATTTGGGGATCCCCCTGTGCTAGAGATGCCCAGGGAGGAAGAGAGGGAAGAAGAGAAGGAATGGGTAGCAGGAGAGAGAGAGAGAGGAGACGATGGGTGAGAGGGCAAAAGGATAAAAGGGGAAAAGAAAGAACCAGCCGAAAAGAAAAGGGGAGGCAAGGAAGCGAGGGAAGGAAGCGAGCTGGAGCAGAGGGAGAGGGCGAGCGAGCCAGCGAGCGAGGGGACACTCAGTAATCCAGTCGGGCAAAGCCAAACCCGTCAAAATGTTTGCGGATGTTTCATGGGAAAAAACATCATTTTATAGGAGCCCCGATGGGAGCAGTGTCATTGATAGGCCAGCGGGCCTGATGAATGGCCGCTCGTCAGATGGGGCCGTGGCGAGGCGCACTGTGAAGCCCATTGTGGGCCTGTTTTGAATAAGAAAAGCCGCCTCCGAAAAGGGGGGCTCAGAGCGACGCAATCCCAGCCCTCCGACTTCCCCCTTCTATTATAGCATTAGCAACGTTTTTCTTATTTAAAGTTCCAGAGGCCTTCTCCAGCCTTAGCCAGGCACTCATTACAGGCGAAATCAAAATTGGCTTAGATCTCCCCCCCACTTCAGCCCTCTGCGCCCGGGCCCCGCGCGGTGCAGCCATGGAGGGGGGGTGCAGAGGATGCCCCAGCCCCTAAGAGTCTCCTTTGCAGCCACGAGTGGGCCCAACTCTTTTTTTCTCTCCCTTGAGACACGTCCCGTTTCCGTCTTGAGTTAGATTTTGAGCAGGGGCCCTGGTGCAGTGCAGGAGTATGTCTTGAGTTTCTTCCACGCAGATCCGCGGACATGCGTGGGAGTAGAGGGTGGGGAAGGGGAATCTGAAACCTTAGATTCCCGCCTGCAGTCTGAGGGACAGGAAGGGCGCTTGGCAGCAAGGGACGGGGGTCTGGCTCTCCTCCTCCAGAACTTTTGTAACCCTTGTCTCGCGCCCTACGGGTCAGGTGTCCGTGCCTCGCTGTCTCGGTCTCCGTTTCCCCTTTGGCTGAGCTTCTCTTTGTCTCTAGGAACACGTCCTTCTGAATCTCTGGGACCCCCACCCCCACCATCGCCTCTTCCCATAACCCTGTATGTCAGTCTGTCTGCGTCCCGGTCCCTCCCTCTTCCCAGGTCCCCCGGCTCCCCCCTCCGCCACCCTCTCGGTCCCCCACAGCCTTCAGCTGAGTTGGTGAGAAGTCCCGGCGTCCGAGCTGGGGACGCGGCTTTCCCAGGGACCCCTCCCCGGTGCAGATGAAAGTGCGGGAGGAGGGAGCCGGGGCTGGCCGACCGCAAGTGTGTGGGGGGGTCCCGCCGCCCCGGGAAAGTGGCCGCTCGCGGGCTGGCCACGCTGTGATTAGAATATGAATGGGCTCCGGCGGGCGGAAGAGAAAGGCGGATTACCCCGCTGCTTTGACCATGGACAGAGGCAGCGCCGGCGGCGCAGGGGCGGATCGCCCCGGTCCCTCCCGCCGCGCCGGGTGCGCTTCTTGCCCGCGACCCCGGGCCTGCCCACCGCGGGCCTCCGGGAAGCCCCGGAGCCGCGCCGAGTGGGACAATGGTGGGAGGGGGCCAGGGACCAGCACGTGCCGCGTTAAGGTCACGGGGCGCGGGGAAGGAGCAGAGCCGAGTGCCAGGCTGAAGGCTGCGTTGGGTTCGAATCCCGGCTCTGAAAATCCGGGCCTTAGCTTCCTCGCGAGTGAAATGGGATAACGACACTCCGTCCCATTGCTCTCCCCCGGCCCTGATTGACTTCCGTGCGCAATCGCTCCTTCTTGCTCAGGTCGCTACTGAGTTCTAACACGGGTCGTGTCTAGGGAATTTGACCATAACCTCATATGTCACCGCAGTGCCTTGCCCAGAAGCCCCCTCCCCAACCCTGGCACACGCTTTTGGAACCTCTGCGGTGGTGGATGAAAGGCTCTGTCAGCCGAACGGGTTGAGGACGAGCCCCTCATACCCTCATGAGTTCGAAGTCAGAGACCGAATGGCCTTGAACGAAATGCTAGGGTGTAGTTCGTTCGGGTGCATCAGGTCATAGTGGGGATCCTGTCTCCAGGAAGAAGAGCTGCCACCACCCCGGGAGTGCCTGTGGACCCTTGGGGAGTCCCTGACTACTGAAACTGCGGGGCAGAGGTGATCCGTAGGTGGATGCGATTGGTACACAGTTGTTGCTAGGCAAATTACACTCATCATGCCAAGTGGAAGGGGTGGGCTAGGACGGGCTGCCCTCACAGGGCAGGGTGACAGAGAAGGACCGGAGGTGGGGGCCAGGCCCGTGTTGGGCAGGCACAACTCAGGCTGGCAACAGGACCCTTGCCGTCTCTGCCTGCCCTGCTTACACTGAGAGGGAGGATGAGGAGGGGAGACAGCATGACACCGATTAGGTTATAGAGCCTGCTACATGATGGAGCCGGCAGATGTCAAAGCCGGATGTCACTCAGGAGGTGACGCTTGAGCTAAAAAATAGTGCTGTCTTTCACTGCAAGTCAGATAAAAAATTCAAAACAATGCTGCCTAGGGGCTGACCATAAGAGTGTGCTTGGGGAAGCTCATGACATAGTGAGCACACAGCTGTGACAGTTGTGCCGTTTCCGGAAAGTTTGTCATCCTTCACTAATAAAAAGGGTTAGTTGACAACTAATGGCTACCACTGCCACAGACCTCATTAATGCTGTGTGACGCGGCAAGCACAGTTGTCCCCTCTCTTCAAGAGAGGTCAGTGTGCTCAGTCTGGACAGCCCCAGTGACCTCGACACCCAAACCTATCCTCTGGAACACAGCACGGGGGGGGGGGCAGCAGAGGGAAGGTGCAGATGCTGAGACACGGGGCAGGGGTGTATGACGAGGGGAGGAAATCAGAACCAACTTTCCACTTTACACACCAACCCCAGTTCCCCCTCCCGACCGACCGCCCCTCCCCCTTCCCACCCAATCCGCTTCTGGGGGGGTTAGGCCTTCCTTGGGGAGTCAACAAAGTCTGGCATACCAAGCTGAAGCAGAACCAAGCCCCTCCCCCCCCAAGCAAGGCTGAGCAAGGTATCCCACCATAGGGAATGGGCCCCCCAAAAGCCAGTTCACGCACCTGGCAGTGACCCAGAGCCAAGCACTGGACTGAGCTCCTGGAGTTCAGTGGAAGAGAGGGAGGAGGGATCATATGTACAAGGGAGGTCAAGAGCATGATGGGAAAACCACAGAGACAGCTGACCTTAGAAAAGGGAGCTCACGGCCTATATATAGACTGACAGCTGGGGACCTGCATGGAGCCAGACTAGGCCTTCTGAAGGTGGGTGACAGTTATGTGGCTTGATCTGTGTGTGTGGAGGGGGTGGCAGTGGCACCAGGGCCTGTCCCGGGTGCAGGGACTGGAGACACAGGCAAGGGGCAATAGGAGCCCTGTATGGTGTTCTGGGGACCAGAGCATGGACCCAGGAAGGTCATGGGAGGTGCCTTCATTGGAGGCTATGCAACGAAATGGGTCTTGCAGAAGATTTGAGCACCTGGGACTGGAAGTGCATTCTGGGAAGATGACAGTGTGGCGGCAGGAAGAGAGCTGCTTGCTGGAGGGGGTATCGCCATGGCTAAAACATGGCGCCGGCTGGTGCTGGCACACAGCACTTGGGGCAGCCTCAGGAGACTCTGAGGAGATAAAGCTCTTTCCCAGCCTTATGCCGATCACCTGTGGCCAGAAGATACTGGGGAGGGGCACAGCACTAGTCAGGAGCTGCCCACCCCCTCGTGGAGACGGGGTGGGAGGTGGCAGGAAGAGGCGGCAGGTGGGCAGACAGGCAGACCCAGGACAGAGGTGGCAGGGTTTGTGTAACATGGTGGCCACTACAGCCTCTGGCAAGGCTTATTATGTGGCATGGAAGCAAAGATGTGGGGATCCTATGCTTTCCCAGCCCTGCACTTCCAACCCTACTCTGTCCTTGTCAGTACGGGTATGATGTCATGGGGGACATGATTCACACAGTTTCTAACTTCCCTGACTCCTACACCCTGGCTTCCTGCCTGCTGACTCAGGGTGCGGTGACTGGCTTACCTCGGTCAAAAGAGTGTGACCTACAGCACTGGCCCCGGCCATCCTGAGGCTGTCCTCGCCTGCACTCAGTGCCGTCTAGTGTTGGACTCTTGGACTTCTGACTTGCCCTGCCAGAAGCCTCAAGCTGGTCACTGGTCCCATAATTAGAGATACATGTAGCCGACTGGAACCTACCCAGCAGCCTGAGGAGTTCCATGATTCCCCAGGGAATCTACAGACCCATGAGCCAGAAACAAACACTTGTTGTTGTAAGCTTTGAGATGCAGTCTTACCACCAGAAAGGGGAGGCAGCAGTAACAGTGGTCTATTACTCTGTGCCGTGTTTAAGGGAGTAAGAGTAATACTAATGATGGCTGAGGGTTACTGAGCACCACTAGGAATGAGCTACCGTTCTAAGTGTTTAGATGAATTATATTCAATTATCAGAATAATCCCAGGAGATATGTACCATATTTATAGCTGCCTTTACTCGAGCCACAGAGAAGATAAGTAACTTAGATTACACAGCAAGAAACAGTGGTGGTGGCACATGCCTTTAATCCCAGCACCCAGGAGGCAGAGGCAGTCAGATCCCTGTGAGTTCTAAGCCAGCCTGGTCTACAGAGCGAGTTCCAGGACAGCCAAGGCTACACAGAGAAACAGTGTCTCAAAAAACAAAAAGCAAAGGAAGGAAGGAAGAAAAAGAGAGAAAGGAAAGGGAGGTAGGAAGAGAGGAAGGGAGGAGGGAGGGGAGGGTGATGTCACCCCTACATCCAGGTGTAGCCTACTAGCTAGCCTCAAGAATAAGCCAACATAAAAGAAGCCCACAGATGTCCTGTGAGACGTCCTCTGAGATGATCTCTCCACTCTGAAGCGCCTGAGATAGTGAGCGAGCCCAGGGAACTACTCACTCTGTATACATTCCAGTTGAGACCAGTCCTTTATACAGAA